TTTTTTTCTATTTTAGGATTTTGGTGATATGATACCTGGACATGGTGGCATTATGGACCGTTTCGATTGTCAGTTTTTAATGGCAACATTTGTTAATGTTTACATTTCTAGTTTTATCAGAACACCAGCTCCATCCAAAATTTTGACACAGGTACGTTGTCCATATGATTTGATTTTTTTTGATGTAAATGAAGTTAAATTTTTTATTCTCTAACAGATTTACAACTTGAGACCTGAACAGCAATTGCAAATTTACCAGTCACTCAAAGAAAGTCTTGGGGACTTAATTACAACTTAAAAAGTTTCCAGAAACTATTAAATCTAAGCGTACTATACAGACAAAACGACTGCGGATACGAATACTACATATTTGTTTTAAACATTATAAGTAATAATTTAACTTGTTTGTTTATTTTTATTGTAAAATTGGAATTTGTTGTTGATACTAGGTCTTCATCTTAGCTTTGTAACAAAAATAGAACATCGATCTCCGCTGTTTGTTAATGCAGACTATGTAGGCGGGCAAATACATAATTATTGCATAGCCATAAAAGATCAATCAATGACTAGCAGATTCATCAATTACATGTGGATCTTTGTGCAAAAGTTAAATGCAAAACCTTTAAATGATTCCATATAGCATGAAAACGAAAACAGGAGCAATATTGTGAATTTTTGTTTAGCTGATTGCTTCACTGGAAAACGAAAAGAATCTTTCTGAGGAGACAAAGAAATAACTTGAATTGTGTCATTCCTTCTCTTTCTCTCCAATTAAAAAATAGTTAAATTCATATTAATAATCAAATATCAAATTTAATTTATAATATTTTTTAATACAAATAGGAAGTTCACAAGGTGTTGTATACTGTCGTAAACTTCAAACGGCTAAAAATATGTGACGCACGTTCAGTACCATAAAAGTCATACTTATTACGAATTTTCACAGCTTTAAAAAATAGTTGGTTGTGGTTTCAAGTCCTCTTAACATTTATTTAAGCGTTTAAAGTGTACGACATGCAACAATGCGACAGTATACCACCCCTTGTGAACTCCCTAAATATTCTCCTTTTACTATTACTGTAAACTAAATGTATGTACATAAATACACTACCATTTTTACCAAACTATCAAATTTTCAGATTATCAGATTATGCCACATACACAATTTTAAAAGTATAATTGGGGTTCAGTTAGTCTTTCATCATTTCGCTCTTGTTGTCGTAATGGCAAAATCTATTCCCAAAAAAAGTGCTAGTGAAATCATTCAGTTCGCTGGAAGAAATTTTTGCGTAAAATTGGTTAATTTTTTAAGTGATTATCTCAGATGGGGAAAGAAGTTTAAGAATGAAATTACTAAATAAGGCTAGTTTTAAAGTATTTAATGGAGAAGGACCGCTTGAATTATCTTTTATTTATTATTTATATTTTGTCATTACACTTGTAAACCGTTAATTTTCGAGTTGAAAATTATTATGTATAAGGTGACTTATATGAAGCTAGTGCAATACATAAAACTTACTAATTAATACATTCTTGCAAAGACGTGAGCGATTAAGATTAATGAAGAAAAAATAGTTTTAGTTTTTTAACTTTAATATTTTCGATATAAGAGTACATGTGTTTTTAGTCGGTATTTTATTGAATCAGTTGTTAACGATCAAACTACAAATGTATAAAAAATATACATACATAAATGCATCCATAATATTTAAAAAATAAAATAAATCTGATTGTGTATTACATAGTACATTCGATTTGATGTCCAATGAAAAACGATTGCATTAGTAATCAAATCTGTGTTGAATAAGTGAAAGTCGGACCAAGGTATTGACAAAGATTATTGATTGTCAACAAAAATGTTGAGTCTTACTGCAAATTTCACGAAAGCAATTTAAGTGAAAAATGATTTTATTTTTTTGGATTTTATATAGAAATTGACAGAAAATAAAAAAATAGTTTTCCATTTAAATTGCTGGTGAAACCGGCTATTAAAGATAATAAATATCGTTTATTTTCAAAACTATGCAAATTTATTTGATATGTTCTCTGCTCGTGGCTTAAAGTTTTTGAAACGATTGGAAATATATCTTCGTATGCACTAATTGCAAACTTAGATTACCGCTATTGTTGCAGTTCCAGCGGCATTTTTCTTATATTATTTTGCGTTCACTTGGATCAACATGTGATTTTTTTTCTCCATAGTAATTATATGTACGTGGACGAATTGAAGAAATGATCGCAGGGGCGATACTTATACACTGCCTATGGTATTTTTTAAGGCACTTAAACTTGAAAAAGGCAAAACGAGCATCAAAAAAAGGCATTTATTTTTTTAATTTTGTTATGTACTTCCTTTATGTACAATGTGCCGGTCCAATAAAAGATATAAAAAATACATACAGTGGTCAAAAAATTATAACCGAACCATTTTTTGCCAAGTTTTAACGTATTATATTTGTTGTTATTGACCTTTTGTTATATTTTTAAATAAAAAATATAGTTCGTTCTTTAACAAAGCCCGTGGAAACCCATGTTTCCAAATTTGAGCAGTCCACTTGCAAAGGCGCGAAGAGCAAACAAAAGATAGCTATGTAAAGTTACTGTTTCAAAACTCGCTTTATTCAATTTTTATATATAAAATTTGCAAAAACTACCACATTGCCATATTGTTTTTTAATGTTATTAAGCTCTTGTTTATCCGAATTTTCAGATAATAAAGAGAAATATACAATTTGGATGTTACTTGTTGTTGTAGACGTTTTTTTAAATTATGGCTCACTATTATAAAATCGCATAACGCTGCTTGCAAGTGGACTACTCATTTGTGCAATATTAAAAAAAAATCAACAAACTTTCGTACAAATTTCAAACTTTTAAAAATTCTAAAAAATCAATCGACATTTTTAGCGATTTGAAACTCTACTAGAATTCATTGGGCTACAAAACTGCATACTCAGAATTTAATTAAAAAAACTGGAAATTTTAACGAAAATTTGTAGATTTTTTTTAAATTGCATAAATTTTTAAGGCAGTGTCACTCGATTGGTACATTTGTACAGATTTGTAAATTTTTATATTGGGCTATTGGTAAAAAAAAAGTGCGACAATTTATCAAAATACGGACAAATCAAAATCTAGACAAATCAAAATACAGATAAATCAAAATACCGACAAATGAAAATACTGACAAATCAAAACACAGGCATGAGGGGAAAAAATGTCGGTATACAAATTTTGCAAATCAAAATCGTGTCTGTGAAGTCGTAGTTAGGTTCGCAGAGAGATCTGCGCAAAAATACTGTGGGAAAAATACTGGGGAATACTTTTCTAAAAAAATCCCGAATCCACCCCTAACCCTCTTCATCAAAACAATTTCAGTGTACCGGAATTTATTTAAAAAATTTTAATTAGTAAGTATTTACAAACAATCATTAACTACTTATATTAAATTGAGATGCTTAGCTATATTGGCTAAGTATTCTTTGGGAGCATAATTTTCCCTTTCCATAACAATTGTTTTAATAAAATGTTCTCTGTTTTCCAGGCGTCGCCGTTTAGCTTGTCTTTCTCCACTAAGCACCTTTTCAATTTTAGGTTCTACAAAAACTTGCTCTTTTATCAAATTTGATATTAGATTGAATATATTTCCATGGTATTGCCCAACTAAACATGAAAGACGCGCGATTTTTCATTCCAAATTTTCGCCTGTGGCGTTTTTTATATTAAATTATATTTTAAGAAATACTGAAAGAGTGAGTGCAAAACTGTAACATCTGCCTTAATTTACATTTTTGTCTGCTGGGTTTTATATTGTTGTTGTATTGACTCCAAATCGTTATGAGAGGGAGGAGGGATGTACCAACAAGAAAATATACTACAAAAGGATGAAAGTCGTTCGAACTTGGAAATATGGCGATGGCTGAAATAAAAAGTGTTTCACCATGTTACAGTTTTGCTCGTCACTGTAAGTAGTTAATGATTGTTTGTAAATACTTACTAATTAAAATTTTTTAAATAAATTCCGGTACACTGAAATTGTTTTGATGAAGAGGGTTAGGGGTGGATTCGGGATTTTTTTAGAAAAGTATTCCCCAGTATTTTTCCCACAGTATTTTTGCGCAGATCTCTCTGCGA